ACTTCAAAAAACACCCCGTTCCTTTCTGGTTTCATGTTTGATTAATAAGTGATGATGTGCTGTAGAATCTGTCATGTTGGTTTGTTTGTTTCTTTTCACCACAACCATAAACTTAATGTATTAAATGTTTTGTTGTCTAAATACCATTATAAACTCAGATTCCAATATAATTTGAGTTTATTTGTCCTGTATGTCCAATCTTTTATATGTCCTCACTGACTAATATGTTTTGGTTTTTTTTTCTGTCTACAGAGGACGTGGATAAAGACCTCATCATCTAACTTCTTTTAATGTGCAGCAAAAGTTTGAGACAAACTTCTAGTCACTAACAACCAGATAAGGTGCTGATGATCCATAAGTTAATGAAAAAAAAAAAATAAAATACAGTCAAGGTGCTAATTGCAAGCTTGTTGTTTCTTTCCTATTATCAATTATCTTTTTCTAGCTATACCACTAAAACATTTCCAAAACGTTTAAGTTCACAGTTGGTACTAACCATCAGATATTTGTGAACATTTGAATTATTTTGTTTTTTGAAGAAAAACACCAGTAAGATAAAACTAAAGACCTCTGATGTAAATTTACATTGACAATATTATATGCTGTCTGTTCCAAGATGTGTTCGGGGCTTCTTTTTTTTCTTCCATTTTGACCAGCTGAGATCAAAAGAATGAAACTGTAAAGTCGAAAATAAAGTTTCTAAATAAATCTCCCTCTGCTTGCTTCCTATAAACCTACTGTTCAGTTTTTTGTTTGTTTTTTTGCAATTTTTTGGTGGTGGGCTCCTTTACTTTCACTGTAATTTCATTTTATTTTTTAGCAGTTTGACTACTAGTAGTGCGCTTGTTCTGTGATCTGTGCCTTTTAAAGGGGTGCGTCTTTGTGCTTATTTGAAAAGAATTAAAAGCAGATTATTTGCTGGAATGAGGGGGAAACCTCGCAGGCTGAGAGTTTTTCTCACCATGTTTATTTTTGTGACACAAAGAGCTCGTTCGATCTCTTTAATGAATAAATGTCTATAAAAACATCTGAGCATGGCTCCATATCTGCATCGGTCTTCTCTGCAAAGGAATTTGTCACTGAGATGATCTGACCTTGGATCTGTATATTGCACCGCCAGCCAGATTTTCTTTTTCATGTGTGACATTTTTGTCATTTTTTTTTTACTTTTGAGCATAAGAAAGGTTATCCTCAAGTCTGTTGAAAAATGTATACCAAAAAATCCTGTCATACATATAAAAAAGCTTTAAAAACCTCCGTCTGTAGCTTTAAAAACGCATCAGTCTGTAGGTTATAGACTCCTGTAGTCTTTGTTAATAATATTTTTAAACATTTAGTAGTTACATAAAGTGTAACCGTCAAAATGATTAATATTCTATCATATTATGTTTTGTAGCTTAGCAGATTTGCATTGCAGAAAATTATGCATATTTCTTCAAATATTTTTATATTACAAAAACAAATATAAACCTATTTGACTGGAAATATACAGCCTGACCACAGCAAGTTCATAGCTATTTGTAGATTTGAAGTAAAATGACACCCTATCTCAAGGCTTTTGGTAGGGATTCCCAGTATTTTATACATGTAATGGCCGATATTAGCTTTGTATCAGACATCAGCCGTTCCACCAATATAACTCACCGATAAACAAGGCATTGCTTCTGGGAAAAGCAAGTGAGGGTTACTGTATGCCTGCAGTGCCAGCAGATCATGTCCACCCAACTGATTCAGGAGAGATGCAGAGTGAAAGTGTTGGTGGTGTTTATTCCTTCTGAGGTTTCAGATGCTGAAAGCTGAACTAATGTTTGCAACGACTGCACGGGACAGGAGGGAGGAAACTATATAGTGGCTGTAAGTATTTGTTCGGGGAAAAAATGCTGGTATAGGTGATCTGCTAGTTGAATTGTACAATATTGGCATTAGATATTGGCCATGATTACAATATCTCACATCCCTAATTTTTTAGAAGTAAAAATCTAGAAATGCATGCATGCATTTGAATTCAGACCCTCTACTCTCATAACTTATATAAAACCCCATTCTTTTCAAAAGTCCCCTGATTAAAAGGTCATAGTGTCAACTTATTTTTTTATATATATATATTTTTTTTTTATAATAGTATATCTACAGACAGTCTATAGGGGAACAAAATAAAGTTATAATTTAACTGAACCTTTTATACATTTTGACGAATCTGAAATATATAAATATACAAGTTGACGTGAAATGATTCTGCACCAACAGGAACAGAAGTAATGTGAAATTGAGCTCAAGGGTTGCCAGATCCTGGTAGCTCTGTGAAGGAGCTGAAAAATGTCTTCTTCCCACCATGACCTCTCTCAGATATAAGCCAAAAAAATTAAACCCCCCAAAAAAAGAAATAAAATGAGGGTGGAAATCAAGTTTTTGAATGTTGATGCTGACTTGAGGAAGCAAAAGAACAAAGAAGCCATGTGGAGGTTGTCACTTTTCTGTTGAACAGGTTAAATATTAACCTTTGGTTAGAATTTGCATTAGCAGACCTGAATCAGAACAAATAGTACAGAATGAGAGCAGACCAGCGCAGGAAGAGGATTTAAACTTTTAGCACGCGACTTTAATTAATAGAGTCATCTGTGTAAAAAACTGATTTCTACATAAATGAAGTTATATTCTATGTGGGGTCATGGGAATGTCAGAGGATGTCAATGAATAAACAGCATCAAGAAAAATAAGGAACCAACAAGGCAACATAGGTATAAGACTTGGGTAAAGTTTCCAGGATAGTTAGGTTAATTTAGATTTTTAGCCAACATTAGCTTTTTTTTTGTCTTTTATTGGTTTTGGCTGAGTCTGTCTGCATGGAGTTTGCATGTTCTCCCTGAGCATACGTGGGTTCTCTTCGGGTACTCTGGCTTCCTCTCACAGTCCAAAAACATGACTGTTAGGTTCATTGGATTCTCTAAAATCTCCTTAGATGCGAGTGTGTGTGTGAATGGTTGTTTGCTATGTGTTGCCCTGCGATGGACTGGCGGCCAGTCCAGGTTGTACCCCGCCTCTTGCCTGTAGACAGTTGGCTCCAGCACCCCTCGCGAAACCGCTTGGGAGAAGCGTGACGGAAAATGGATGGATGGATGGTTTTGGCTGATGTACATGTGTTGGTCGATTCATTAATGCATTCAGGGACCATGAATTGAGATCAAGTGAAGCACATGCACTGCTGCTATACCCCCATCTACTATCCATCGTTAATGTTTTGTTAATGAATATTTCATTTTTGTCGAAACTGAGATTTGTGTAGCATTTTTTATCATTCTTTTTATCTTATAAATCAATCTTAGCTATATCTGCTTCAACACCTATCTGTTTAAGTGTTAAAATGGTCCAATTGACACTATGTTGCATATTATATTGTAAGTTTTATATTGTATATAGATAGTTATAAATTACAATATCGCCATTAGATATTGGCCAAGATTGTAATATCTCACATCCTTTTTTTTAAGAAGTAAAAATCTAGAAATGCACGCATGCATTTGAATTAAGATCCTTTATTCTCATAAGTTTAAATAAAATCACATTCTTTTCAAAAGTCCCCTGATAAAAAAGTCATAGGGGCAACTTATTCATCAGAACAATCATTTTTTCAAAAATAGTATATCCATAGATATATCCACAGATGGCTATAAATTCTGTATATATATCCAGTTTGTCTGCACCAACAACACCCTGTCAAATTCCTTGTAAGTGCAAACCTACTTGGTAATAAACTTGATTCTGATTCTGGATGAACCTACTGCTCTAAATCCCACTGATGATCGGTGCAAGACTTGACTGTTCAGATAATTCCTTCCCAAAAGACTTGTCCTCTGGTCTTTCTTTAATCCTCTGCTCTCTATAGCAGCTTCTGTTATTCAAGCAAAATAGATCAAATAAGAAATATATATAATTAAATTGTAATATTGGTCATCAATATTAAAAATACAGACTAACAAGATGTATGTCAACGATATGAAATAGGCTACTTAAAAAAAAAAGAAAACAGGATGTGTTTTTTGGCTGTAGGGATCTCATGTTCATAAACTCTGTATACTGCCTTATAAGGTTAAGGTTCTGTGAGACTCTGCTCCAGCATTCTTTACTTTGTGTGCTTTATTTCATTTTGGTCCCCTGAGAGACAGCAGAGGGAGAGCTGGAGCACCCAGTTACCATCCGCACCCGCTAATCCAGACTCCAGCGTTAGGAATGTGAAACAACCTCTGGAGCTCTTCCATAATCATGCGGTGCCTCCTCTCTGCCACAGCAGGAACAGAAAAACAACCCCTCAATTCCCACAGATCCTCTTGGGGATTTATTTCCTGACTTTGACTGGGCCATTACAGAAATAAATAACCTTTGATCTGAAGGTTTTGGAGGTGCCAAGGCCAGTCCTTCAGTTCTAGATCATTAAACATTTGGATGCATCCCTGCTTTAACAAAAGATGGATTTCTTTATATCTTTTACATTTATTTTGATCAATTTATAAAAAAAAAACTTACAAATGATAAAGAATACAAGATAGGAATAAAGGAAAAAAATCAATAGACGCGCTTCTTAACACGCTGATTTTCCAAAAGTCGCTCTTAAAGGAGCTGATACAGGATGGAAATATGATCTCCTCTCATATACCGCAACAAATTGCCGAATTCCCCCATCAAATTTATAAGACTGAACAAAAAATTTACTTTAGGAGTTAACGCTCAGTGCTATTCGTAGTGTTTGTACAAAGATGCGGCGTGCGTTTATGTAGTACTTCTGTCGCCCCCAAGCGATAAAAACCCGCAGTACACCACCACGCAACAATTTCGGTGTATGCTATTTCTTAAAACCATCGCACCTTCAGCCTCCCGTGTTTATTGGCTGAGAGCTGCGGAGATGGCTCTGGATTGGCTCTGTGTAACGTCACTTCTCCGCTCCTCTTAAGCGATTGGTTGTCAAGCCTCAGCTCTGAATTCCATTGGCTAGAAACGTTTCAAGAGGCGGAATCTTGCCTTTAGTGCGGAGGAGAGACAGGTATTCGGGTACTCTGGCACGTTGAGAAGCCGTTAGGTGTCTGCCAGCCGTTACGGCAATTCAATAACTCCACCGATTGAACAGTAATCGTTTTAACACAATTGACCAGTCGGTAAGTTGTTTCCATGTAGAATATGTGTATGTCTAATGCCAAAAAGCTCACATTTGTTCTCTCATTGTGATTATTTAACGTGTTTTATCTACAGGGCTCTGTCTAAACCCTGGTTTTCAGATGGTTGTTGCTATGTATTCATGCAGTAATTAGACTGTCTTTTTAAAAATACTCTATATTGGCAGTGTCATAAGTTTAAAAAAATATAACTGAAAATACTGAAATGTAGATTGGGTGATTTATTCAGAAAATAATGACATTAAAATGCCACTAGTTTCGGTTTGGCTTTCCAGGAAGTAGCCACCGCCCTTAACTAGCTCCTATTTAGCCTTTCAGTCGTGACTCCCACCCCTCCTGTATTCTTGTCCGTGTCCAAAGTTAGATTTAAGATTTTAAGTTTGTTGGGGTCTTTTTCGCCGCTTGCTCGCACCCAGCTAACGGATTAGCTTTGGTCGCCATGAGCAGAGAGCATGGCTGGGGAGGCTGAGAGACACGTGCTGCCGGGGATCCTCCTGTCCCTGTTTTTTGGGGGGCCGCAGGCGGCTACAGCTGTCGCCGTTAAGCCCCCCTGGTCAGCGGAGTCCTCTGAGCTAAAGTTAAATCTGGAAGCGTGGACTGATGTCCCTGCTGTCCGCGTGGGCTCCATGTGTTTAGGCCGGTGCGATCGGCTCCATCACTGCCGGCATGGCGCGGCCTTTGTCTGCGTGCTATACGTGCAGCGATGAGCACTCAGGGGAAAACGTGTTTAAGTCCACATTGAAAAAACAACATAAGCACAGATAAACATCATGGAATTATTAGTGACATGTTGCATGTCCATACGCTTAAGTCTGATCGTGCTTTTTATGGTTTTGAAGGAAGGAAGGGAAGGGGCCCCACGACCAGCAGGTTGCTTTAGGCTTTGTTGCAGATCCACTGTGAGGAGACTGTTCTGTTACTGACCGATCAGCATAAGTGTTTGCTCTAGATGGTGAACATAAAAACGATTCCTTGTGAGTTAATGGCTGAATGTGTTTCTAGCAATATAAACTGACGAGTTTTCTGACATAAAAAAGGCATCATAGTCGATGATTGCAGTCCATACTTGATTTGAGCTTCGGTAATCAGGGTCCCTAAGGGAACCCTTGCTGCTACTAATGTTTCAGTTAATGATTAGCTCCACCATCCCGCCCATAAGAAGGGAAAAAAAGGTAAGTTGTGCATTTGGTAAACCACTGAAACATGGTAAAGATCCCTTATGCCTTACTGAAACCTTGATCCATTTGGACCAAACCGTGGTTCCTGCAGATCCTTAAAAGTCTTAAAAGGGATTTATCTATAAAAATTCCTTGAAGCATTCTTTCATAGGTCTTAAAATTGTCACAAAGTCATAAATAGGATTTTATCTTTGTAATTCATATCAAAAACTAAAATAATTCACAATAATTTTTTGACATTTAACGAACGGCTTAGCTGTAACCATTATTAGTTCCATCCTGGCAACCAAACCAATATAAACGATGTTGCAAACAGACCTCGGGGCGATGCACCAATAACTTTTTATCTGGACAACGTGGGGAAGTTTAAATTCAATTAAAATCTGCTAACCAGCCAAGAGTTTTCTGTATGGCTATAAACATTACCAGGTAATGTATATGAGGAATGGTGTATTTTCAGCAAGAAGGCATTTGAGCTTGGCAGGATGGAAATCAAAGCTCTGGAGTCAGACATGTGAAGAGTGGAAAAACAAAGCGCCAAAATCGAGTTACAGAGAAGCAGCAGCTATTTCTCAGTTCTGTTCCACCCTTGTCTCTGCAAGGCCTCTACAGACATTTCCATTGTCGAAAAAGGAACCAGTAGCACCAAATCTCTGGATAATGTTTGGTGGTACGCCTACAATGAAAGCAGAGCTATTATGGACTTTGAGTAGGGATCGAAACAAAGTTTGTGAATTCTATTCATTAGTTGTTAAATACATGTCTCTTATTAGTGTGTTTTTTAGCTTTCTTGCTATATGGAATTTTTTTCAAAATGGTAAACATTTCTGCTTGGCCAGAAAGTAATGGTTTATGTTAAAATAAGCATCAGGTTAAATTTGAAGCAGTTTTTTTTTTGTGTGTTTATTGTAAAGTTGGTCTTAAGGTTTTATTTCAGGGGACAAAAAAGTCTTGAATTTAACATGCTTTATGTTGTAGGAACCCTGCAAACTAAGAAAGAAATGTGCCTTCAACTTATAAAATGTCTTTACCCTCGATTTGTGTTAAATTGCTGCAGAAGTCCAGACTTACCAGAAGTATGGGGCTCCCTTCATGCTGCAGAGATCTAGGATTAGCTGGTGTAGTTTAAATAACATACAGTGATTTGACTTTATGCCGAGTATACACCATGCGGTACATTTGATATTAAATAGCGATCTGTGGGAAATCTCATATTTTCACCACTTTTTGTTGTCCTGATGACTTTCCCTGCACTCTCGCTGAGCTTTTATGGTCCTGGTTAAGGGCCATATAAAATGACAAAGAATAGTGAGTCTAATTCAAAATGGTATCCTTGTAGGAAAAGTCTGGTCAGCAAGGAATGATCAATGGACCATTATCTATACCTACATACCTGGCTACATGTTCGCGGTGATTTAATTGATATAGTGCTTATCTACGGAGTAACAGTTTATTGTGGAATATGGTTTTCTTTGGATGTTTTTCCACCTGAGGAGTAAGACCCCCCTAGAAAGGCACTGCATCATCAGTCTAAATTTTTCTAAAAATAAAAATACTAACTAAAAATATAAAAATAAAAATACTAACTTTTGTTGTGATTACTGAGTCTTGGAACAGCCATTTTTGCCAAAATATAGTAACACCTGACTGCTGACATCTTCCAGCAGTGACGTCATGGTGCGGTAAGCCAAATGCCATTCTTCCTGTTTTACAAGCAAAATCAATGGGGGCTACTAGACACATCTGCAATCAATGACGATTATTTAAGATTTTGAGAGGACATCGCTATTGAAATCTGCAAGAGCTATTGTTAAACTGACTATGCCAACATGCATGGCAGTTGGAAGTTGTAATACATCGGGTAAAAGTGGGGAGAAACATTTTTTTTATTTCACCATGGGTTTGTCGGAGTGCCAAGTTAAAGAGGGGGTATTTTCCATCAAGTTTCTGGTCAGAGAAAAAAAGTGTGATATGTAGCCAACATCTTGAAGAAGGATGTTTCAAAAATTACTTGGTTAGTAGCGCATTGAGACACAAGCCAGATACTGTACTGGGACTTGCTCAACAACCGATACCTCACTGTGAAGTCACAAACCAGTAGGTGGCAGTAGTGTTCTTTGACAAAGATTTTTCTAGGAACTGGAGAAAATCTGAAGAATAATTTATTGAAATGTTAATTCTGATTGAGGCTGCTGTTTTAGCTTTGAAACTGCTTTTAGTTTCCAGAAAACTGGCATCATCCATTTACACCTAATCTAATAAATAACAGACAGAGAGCCTTAAGGCATGCTACTTGAATAATTACCCAGCACTCACTGCAAAGTAGTTCTTTGCTGTTATAGTAGGAGATATATCATGTTACTAATATTCCAAGGCTGGAATTCATTACTCAGAATCTATAAAATACAACATAAAAATGCCTCAGAATACAACTTTTTAAAGAATTTATTAAAACTAGTTAAAGAGGCTTATTCTATGCCTTTCATAGATGTTTATGGGCTTTGTAAACTTTGATTATTCCATGATGCTTTATACAACATGAGAATAATTGTCCTCTCTGTATGACCTAAAGTCTGTGGTTATATTGTACATCTGGTTTACTTCTAAACTGTGTATGACATTGATCTGGGCCACCAGAGATATTACAATAAATCTGAAAGAAATTGAGAATTCTATAAATATTTTCTTGCTGTTTGACTAGAATATTAACCCACATTTATCAGTGTTGATATTTAGTCTGCCGTAGGGCTGAAACAATTGTAATTAATCGATTATTGAAATAATCGTCAACAAATTTAGCATTTAGCCTGGAAAAAAAATAATAGACAAGATTAATCGATTTGCAAAATAATCGTTTTTTGCAGCCCTCATCTGAAGATGTACCTATTCAGTTGTGGTCAATCCTCTGCGTTGCGCTTGTGATCCGAAATCCAAATGTTTTCCTTTTTAATTATTTTAGGAGTTCTACCTTTGGAAGCTGTTGAGCCTCTCCCTTATAGAATTCATCGCTCATTTATGTAATCTTATGAATCATTGTTTTTTTCCATTAAGGACAGTGTTCCTAATTGATTATCATGTTTATATAGTTCGACTCAGCCTGTGTGACACTTGACATATATTAGGCTACTCATATATCAACAGCTAATAATGCAGAAAAGAATTAGCAGGGTTTTTTTTTTTTTTTTTTTCCCACATTGAAACACCAATTATCCGGCTAGGTATTAACTTGCACTGAATGTCAGCCTGAGCTGTAGTTGCTGTTGGCAACTCAAAAGAATGTTGTTCTGTTGAAGCATGTCTCAATTTTCGCTGTCAACCGTCCAGACTGTTATCAGACTGCCTTTGGCTGCTGGTATTATAGGGCGACGCATCGGTTCTTAAAAGGTGAGCAAACTCAAACTGATGCCTTTTCAAATGGAAACATTTGCTCTTTAAATGTCATATTAAAGCTTGTCTGGTGCAACTCTTACAGTATTTGGCATTCTGATGTTAGAAAAAGACGGTGGTCAAAAAGTAACGTTCCCAGTACAGCTTTTTGTACAGATTTGGCCTTTTCTGTTGTCACTGTGGTGAGGCGTACAGAGACCAACGAAAGTAGTAGAATCCAATGAAACAGGCACTGTTTAAACATTTAGTCAAAGTTGAGCTCTCATCTTCAAAAAGTGTTTTTCATTTTATCCATGGACAAGAAACTCCAGCTGCGGTTTATTAGATTGGCTCTATTATTGTTGGATTATTGGATCCAGTAAAATATGAAACTTGCGGAATCTGGTTAATGTGTGGTACAGCATAATGCTCAGATGGCAGATGTGATCGATGTCGCCTTGCACCTGTCTCATAGCAGGAGATGTTGAAAGTCTCTTCTATATGTGTTACTTTTAACAACATCAATTTCACAATTTATAACTATAATCGATTTTAAACAAGAGTGATAGAAACACAGTACAATCTAAAAGTTGTATACCATGCTTTAAGTATTTCAAAGTCAACTACAGGCATATGCAGAAAGGCACTGCATATCAGTCTAAATTTTTTTTTTTTGATGGAAATTGAATTAAGGTTTGGGATATTTGCAGTGACAAAATCTAACTGGAATCAGATCCAATAAAGAACTTGGTTACATGCTCCCACAATAAAAAATGTGTGTATATATATATATATATATATATATATAATGTCGTGTGTCACAGTTTTTTTTTTTTTCTTTTTAGATTTATTTATTTTTTTGTTTATGCCATACTTCCACCAAGATGAGTAACTGTACAGTTGATCTTTTAATGGAGGGATCCCAGCTTTTGCCACTTGCCCAAAAGGGAACTCCTAAATCAGGGCAGTAGTGGGTCAGGTGCTGCATGATTATGTGAAATGGGTTTAGTTTTAGTCGATCTATTTAACTCTGGAAATGACTTCTGGGACTGGAGGAGCTCTGTCGGTGTCTTCTGTTGGAACAAGATCCAAAACGAGTCATAAGCTGCATTACAGTTTGATTATTGATGTGAATGCAACCTAGGCGTGAGTATTGGCATGGGTGTTGTGATACGATGCGTGTTGTGATACTTTGGTCACAATGCGATATTATCACCATATTGCGGTTTTTCCCAGCTATCAAAATTAAATGTATAGATAAAAAGCAAGTGCTGTGTATGTTCATCTGCAGATGTTGATCATTTAATAATTTTAGTATCCATGTTATTTGGGGTTTGAGTCTGTCCACATCTTCCACTGTGACTGCCTGAACTACAGCCACACAGTAAAAGGGCTGCACAGCGCCATCTGGCAGAGTGGCAGTGCAGTTCATTTTCCCTCATTGTTTTGGGTAAAAAATGTTGTTTTTAATCACTATTTCGAGCTTTAGGGCTGATATTATAGCACACTGCTGAAAATTACGATTTATCACAAAACAAAACATTTTTAAAGATTTTTACAGATTTACATGAACAGTCTCATGGAGCTTGATTAAGGTGCAAATTGACTGATTTGACAAACTCCTTCCTTTTCTTTTGATTTATTTTCAAATAATCTGCCACTTTAATTGAGATCACCCTCTTTTGCCCAGCAGAGATTTCCAGTCGACCAAAGAAATGGTGATGGAGAAGCCAAGTGCCCAGCTGGTCGGGCGAGAGTTTGTCCGACAGTATTACACACTCCTGAATCAGGCCCCTGACTACCTGCACAGGTACCGAGATCAGTTGTTGCTTTTTGATCAGACATGAATTCCTCTGACTTGTTTAAAATTGAATGAGTTGTTAAAATGCGTCTCCTTTCAGGTTTTATGGAAAGAACTCCTCATATGTGCATGGCGGCTTGGACAGCAATGGGAAACCACTAGAGGCTGTTTACGGACAAGCTGTAAGTGGCGTCGTGTAGCAGGAGACATAACACTAGATCCAAGCTACCTCATTTTCTGCTATCCTATATTCTTTCGCTACTCTGGTCTGTTAGAGATCCAAGTTCTGATCCTTTCTTCTCTTTGTCGTTCAGAAAAAATACTGTAAATGTCTTTGCTACTAAAGAGGCAATTTTTTTATTGGACTCTTCTCTTTTTCAGGAGATCCATAAGAGGGTGATGGCACTGAGTTTCCGGGATTGTCACACCAAGATCCGACATGTGGATGCCCACGCCACCCTGAATGAAGGCGTGGTGGTCCAGGTGATGGGCGAACTCTCAAACAACATGCAACCCATGAGGAAGTTCATGCAGACCTTTGTTCTTGCACCTGAGGTTGGTGTTTACACATTCCACATTGTGTGGCTTATAAAAAAATCTTTCTGTTGTTAATTTTTTTTTAAATTTATGTTTCAGGGTACAGTTGCAAATAAATTTTATGTCCACAATGATGTTTTCCGCTACCAAGATGAGGTGTTTGGTGACTCTGACTCTGAACCTCCAGAAGGTAAAATGATATTTCTTATGGCTTCTCCAGTCTTTTTCATTTCCTACACAATACAGATATTGACCTGAAACCATATTAGTATTAATCATAAAAGCTTTTCTAACCTTTTTAACACTGTACTGTTAGAAATCAACAACAAAGGGTATTGGAACAACTGATCCATGTAAAATTAACCAATGAGTTACAGAAAACTTTTAACGGAAGCAGAGAGTTTTAATCAACATCGAAATATTGGAGAATTTAGAGGCTGTGACATCAGTTTTTTGGCTAATATTAGCCAATATGTTGCTGCTTCATATACTGTTGCCAAATTTGTAATGCTTGTTAAAATTTCATATCTATTGATAAGAAACTGCACCTGCTTGACAGGTTACTAAAATGAAGATGTGGCTAAATAGTTGGGGCTCATTTTCATAAAATTTCTGCATGAGTGCAGCTTTGCATTGAGGCAATCCACCTGTTTCACTGCTCAGGTGTTCTGGTGGCACTAGATTCCAGAGTCACTTTGATTTAGATTATGTCTACTTCCTGGTCAGTCAACTATTGTAAAATCAAAAAATGATTAGTAATTTTCCTAGTACTAGGCAGTGGAGATTGGTGTCAAATCCTGGTACCAAAACAGCTCTGGTGTCATGTTGGACAGTCCCCGAGGACTGAAAAGTTTTGGCCATTTTAACCATATTCTCAAACGTCATATTAGGCCGGGCGTACACTGTGCGATTTTGGGGAGCGATTTTCTGGTCATGCAAGAATCTTTCCATCGGGCCGACTTTCAGCCTGATCGTGAGTCGTTTCGTGTACAGGGGGTTACGAGGGGCGATCAGCCTCTCACAATCACCTCCCGAGCAGGAATTGTAAGGTCGGGAGAAAATCGCTCAGGGCGCATGCGCAAAGAAGGATTCTTCTTTTTATTCTTCCTCACAGATGTAAACACAGAAGCATGGCGGGGGTGTAATGAGTGAAATGCAGTTCTGTCTGGAAAATTGACAGACCATAGTTGCCACGTTCGCTCAGCCGTGTCTTTTTTCCAAATACGTGCCTCTTTATGTCTCGGGTGAATTGTAGTAGTTGGTAAATATTACATCTTCATCATTTTTCCAGAGTCGGAAGATGAAGTAGAGGAGCTGGAGAGGGTTCCCTCCCCTGATGTGGGCCCTGAGGAGTCTGCCCCCTTCTATGACCCAACAGCTTGGTATGATGTTCCCTGTTTTTAGTGTTATAGTCAAGCTCTGAACTGTACACCTGGTTTTTTGATGGTCGCTCAGCTGAGGTTATAGTTTGCTTTGTTTACAACTTGTTGTAATATGTTTGATAAGAAAACATGTCCCTGTTGCTGATTTTATAAATATTAAGCTAAACAAAATGCTGGTTTTAAATGTGTAATTTCTGTATCCCAATATCTAAATATTCTCGATTTTCTTTTCAGTTCAGGACCAGCGGCTCCTGGTGATGTAGAGGAAGAACCTGCAGTAAGCCCAGAACCAGAGCATGAGGTGGAGAAGGAGGTGGAGGCAGCTGAGGTGGAGCTGAAAGCAGAGGCCATGCTGGAGACGCAAACAGAAAGCCTCACAATCGAAGATCAGACGGAGAAAAGTCCCTCTACAGTCGCTCCCCCCTCCACAGAACCCGCCACAGCGCCAGCTGACACGGCTCCATCTGCTCCAGAGGAAAACCGGGTAGGTGTCACCAGTGTTGTTTTTGACAACTGTCTTAGTCTTAGCTTTCAGGATAAAAACAATTATTAGTCTTTGTCGCATTTTAGTCAATATATGTTATGGGTTTTAGTCGACTAAAACTTAAAAAGATTTTAGTTTATTTTTAGTCAGTTTTATGTTGCAAAAAAGTTAACCTTTACAATTTTGAATAACCGGATTTTTTACCAGACTGACAGCTCTAGCCTAGATGCTACAATTGCTGGGTATAGAATACTGCCATGCAGTTAATCTTTGCTGTTGGGTAGAAAACCTTGATTTATAGAATTCCAATAAACGTTTTTTATGAATTAATGCTCTACTTTATAAAAAAGTGTCTCACTAAAGCTGTGAAAATATCTAGTTTAGCACATCATATTGGTTACTATAGCAGGCAGACAAGCTAATATAATGCAAAATAAAGGAATGGTTTTAGAAATGCAATGTTTCTATCGTAAAGCAAACACTTCCTGATCTACTATGAATTATGCATTAAACACAGATCAATAAAATCTTTATTACTCCAAAAAAAGCAAAGCACTAAAGTATTATTCTTTCTACTTAGGGAATTTTAGCTTTATTTCTGAGAATTTGCCTTGCTGCTCGGGGGTCAAAGTAGATTGAAATTCACAGGGTTATGATATAAAGAAATAAAGACAGAACCTACATAATTGCCTTGTAATGCCATGGCAATCTAGACCTAAATTGAATGAATATGCTACTAAAAAGTAAAATTTAAAGGAAACATAGAAAATGTTTTAGCTACAAAACAAGGAAACATTTACATCATATTTATATAGATGTGAACGAGAGAGAAATATTCAAAGATCTATGTACCTTCTCTGGATCTTTATTAAAAAATAAACAGAATGCAATGAAACATTTTATTTGAATATAATTCAGGTATTCCTTTTGGTAGAAATTAAAGAAAGTTTAGTATCACCTCTTGTAAGCTGGAAGAAATAAAATATTGATAGTAAAGGGATTTTTTATGCTTGGCAGAGGATGATCAGCCCCATATAGTTTAATATCGAGAGCTGGAAGAGCCATACTGCTGAGAGCGAACCATCAGTGTGGAGCATGAAGCGCAGACTCAGAAAAATGCATTTCTGCACAAGCACAGATGGAAGATCAGAGCAGAGTTTGTCAGAGTTCAGCGCACAGTACTGGGCCATTCTGGGTTATTTTCTCAGACCCTGCCATTCCTGCCATGATCCATATGTGCTCCTGCAGCATGTGCAATGCTGCGTCAGGATCATACAACACGCAGCAGCACGGATGAAGCAGATTACAGCATGATGATATGCAGTTTAAATGTCTGACTGACGACCCGCTAATTTTTATTTAGTCTCGTCTCATTGACGAAAACTCAAACCTATGTTTTAGTTATCAAAGATCCATGTTTAGCAATTTTTGTTATCGTCATGAATAAAAGGAGGGTTAACGAAATGATTTCGTCATCCTTACCTTTAACGAAAACAACACTGGGTGTGCTGCTATGGTAAGACCATAAGAAATGGTCTCTGAACTGAAAACAAAACATTTATTTTTAATTTGTTATTTAATTTTATTTTTCCCCATGACAGCCGTTCTCTTGGGCATCAGTTACCAGTAAGAACCTCCCTCCAAGTGGTGCTGTCCCAGTCTCAGGCTTCTCCCAACATATTGCAAAGGCTCCTCCTGCAGCTCAGGTATGCTTAAGGTCCTCCTTACTCTGATTGATATTATAGAAACAGCATTTTACTTTTCTATCAGACTCTTTATTTTCCTTAATTTCATTAAATCAGAATACCCATGCAGTTGACAGTCAGTTTTATGTATACATTGTTTAGAAACAATACAATTTTGGAAAATATAGTTTTTTTGTTTGTTTGTACATTTAAGTTATTACATGGTCTAAATATTTTTTATTTTTTTGAGTCAGCAGTCTTCAAATGTAGTGGAATGTGAAGAGCAAGCAGAATATCATTTAGCTGCCTGCTGTTCAGCTTTCTGTCTAGCTTCAAATAATTGATTCAGACCTTTAAGACTTTTGTTTTGTTTTTATGTATAAATAAAATAAATTTTCTTAAATGATTAAATCCTGGTAAAGCTTTTTTTTTTTTTTTTATAAAAGGCCTATACAGTTGAAAAAAGATAGAAAATCGCTTTTCCTTTGTTTATTTCTGATATAAAATCTGTTCTGCTGCAGCCAAGAGTGGAGGTTAAGTCTGAGACACAGACGGCACAGAGACCACAGAGAGACCAGAGGCCGAGAGAACAGAGGCCTGGGGGTCCTCCATCCACCAACAGAGGGCCAAGGCCAGGTACAGGCAAGCTGAGCCTCCAAAAAAGAACTTATGGATTATATTCAACTTCTTTCCTCTTCTGAAGTAATAAATATCACTCTTTTTTTTTAGTTAGAGAAGGTGAGCCGGGTGAGTTGGAGGGTCGCAGGATGGTTCGGTACCCAGATGCCCACCAGCTGTTTGTGGGTAACGTTCCTCATGATGTGGACAAGACGGAACTGAAAGAGTTCTTTGAACGTAAGTTGGAGCGAAGTCTAACCGTAACAGTGGGTATTCAGTAGGGTCTGAACTTTTCCATGACTTTGAGACACTGGGGTGGTTCATTCTGCAGAAATGACTCTAAATAGTGTTTAAATTCTAGCCCCAAAAACTGAAGCATATTAACAATAAAATAGATTTGTGGGTTAAGGAGGTAAAATGTGGTCTGTCTTTTTGCAGAATATGGAAATGTCCTGGAGTTGCGGATCAACAGCGGAGGAAAGCTCCCAAACTTTGGCTTTGTGGTTTTTGATGATTCTGAACCTGTACAGAAGATCCTCAGCAACCGGGTAAGAACAACTTCTTTGTTTTTGTTGACTTCAGGCTACTGAATGTTTTTGGATTATAATCCGTTGTCTCTTTCAGCCCATCAAGTTCAGAGGAGACATCCGTCTGAATGTGGAGGAGAAGAAAACCCGGTCGGCCAGAGAGGGTGACAGGCGAGATGTAAGGCCCCGTGGTCCAGGTGGCCCCGGTGGTCCGAGAGAGCGAATAGGAGGTGGCGGGGGACCCAGGGGCCCCCCTGTTCGCGGCGGCATGTCACAGAAACCCAGCTTTGGTTCTGGACGGGGGGCAGGAGCTGCGGAGGGGCGCTACTCTGCTCCTCGTCAGTGAACCCACCGGAAATAAATTAACCATCTGGATTCAGTCTCTACTGGTTTTTGATTGTTCTGCAACAGGAACTGATTGGGAAAAAAAAAAGAGATAAATTTACAAAAACAGAGAAACCTCCCTTTACATCTAGGAGAGAAAATCGGCAGGAAATAAGAGTTGGAGTCAATTTGATCTGCTGCTCAGATGTTGTCTGACTCATTGCTCATTTCTGCATTATTCTGTCTCCTAAATGTTTCCAGTTCATGTTTGGTCAAACTTTCAACATCGGGTCACTTCTGCTGAATTTAAGTGGCAGACTCATCAATCTGTTTGTTCTAAGGACAGCCGCTCCCCTTCCAACACATACGTCCTAAACCTCCCACCACCAGTGTCTGAGCAGTCATGGTATAAACACTCCAGGGGAACATCGTCACTGTTAATGGGGGGAGGAGACTGCTGGATTTTACAGGAGTGCTGACGCAAACGACTATTAGCATTTCTACACTAGTAGTTTTGAAGTGTTTTTAAGTTCTTTGTATTTTTGTTTTCTACCCTGCCAAAAGATGTCAATTTCTTTTGTCTTTTTCTTTTGTTCTGATCGTTTGGAAAAAAACAAATGAAACCATAACTGCTGTCTGCATTCTCTCCTGAAGCTGAGCGGCTCCTCTTGTGAACAGCTGTTTCCTCCCATCATGATGGCCATCCTTCCTATATCCAGAAGACAAAAGCAGCTTCTCTTCAGATCAGCCCCAGATTTTTTATTTTTTTGTTCTTTTCACACATTTTACCTGGACTTTTTGGTCAACTTTTTCATGCTAAACCTGAATTTGTTAAATCAGAACTCAAACAGATGAAAAAGGGTAAATATTACTTGAATTGGGGCTTTGTAAACCCAGAATTTATTTCGCGTTCTCTCCCTGTTTCTTAAAGGAACGTGTACTTTTACTGCTTGGGCAATCCTGTGTATTGCTACCACCGTTTTATCTAGCGTTGGATCTGTCTTTTTATTCTATCAGGTCAAAGAGCTGAAATGTTGTAGTTTATTTTAATATTGTCTGAATAGAGCATGTATCAAATCCTGTCAGACTTGTACTACCGATGCACTTCATTTGTCATCTGAAAAATAAGCTCACATGCCGACGAGAGAACTAAATTAAAAGCGATTTACTGTTTTAAACTGGTCCAGTTTTTATCAGACTCCCTTTTGCAAAGAAATATACTTTTTTTTTTAATTTTCTCACCACTTGCTGCTATTGGTAAGTTCTGGTAATAAAGCCCAGTGAAGACACGGAAGTACTTTTGTCATAAGGATGACAGAATGGTTTCTTTGAACCCTTTACAGACCTAAATCCTGAGGAAAGTAGTTTCTTACATTACCCCTGAAGTGCTCACTTTCTTTAGACCTACAAATGGCCCTAAGATTTCTAATGCAATTGGCTAGCATTAACTCAGTGTTTTCAAAATGGACTGAAAATTATGCATGGCTTCTTCTAAAAACATAAATGCATAGCAAATATGGTTATCCAGTGAAGAAGAAAAAAAAAAAAATTCCTTCACGTGTTTCTGGCAAGCCAAACTAACTTAAAGGTATAGTGGAGGACGATCTTTTCTGGGTGGATCTTCAAAATAAGTAGTCCTCCTTTCAATCATTCTGGTGATATGATTATGTAAGGCCGCCCTACGTGCTCATCCCCATTTTCACTTCCTAGTGGTGAGTATGACATAGTGGGAAAAATTGCACATTTTTGGTTCAATTTGCATGTTTTCTAAGCTATAACAAGGCTTTGTTGGGCTGCTCTATAAGCCTGGAACTCGACGATAATCCAGACGCTTTGAATTGAGAAAGTTTCCTGGATGGGAAGCAAAAACATCTTCAAACTTTGAAAACGAAGTCCAGTGGTTTCTTTTAACTTTTTTGGAGTTTCAATGCAGAAGAGCATCTGAAAACACAAAACATTGAACCTAGAGGCAGATTGGCTACAGCAGTAGAAGACCACACCGGGTTCCCCTCCTGTCAGCTAAGAGCAGGAACCTGGCTACAATTATCAAACAATAGAAGATTGGGGAAAAACACTGAATTTGCAACATTCAGATGATAGCCTTGCTGCAGTCAACATAAAAGCATGGATCCTTCCTGCCTTGTATTAATGGTTCAGGCTGGTGGTGGGTTAATGATGTGGGAGATATTTTCTTGACAGCCTACCTCAGTATTGCTGCAGACCTTACCTTTATTAGCACAGTGTACCCAGCATCTTAAGGCTACTGATGGCATCTCAGAATCTGAGGAATGTTTCCAGTACCTTATGGAATCTAACACCAAGGATTAGGGAGGCTTTGAAAGCCCAAGGGGTCCAACCTGGGACTAGCATGGTATACCTGATGAAGCGGCCAGTGAGTCCTCACAGAGGTGCATCTCAGGAAATTAGAATATCATCAGATTCTGGGTACTGAATGAAGTGTTAAATTTCACCTTTACCTCTCCTTAGCCCACCTCTTAATTATTGCCTCTTTTCAGGAGTGGTTACACTAAGGGAAAATGACAGTTGTAGCTCATTTCTTGGATACACCTGTGTGTGATGGCTCTGAAAGCACTGACTCTGTCTGCACTCTACTCACTAATATCAAAACCAAGGGGACTTCTTTATTTGCACAATTTCTACACTTTCAACTCAACTTTTCCTTAGTACACCTAAATAATGTCTTTGCAGCCAACTTCATTTTAAAAGACCTTACATCTTTCCTATAACTGCAAATGGTATTTTACAGCAGTAAAATAACAGGTCTCTATTAAAATCCCGCCTCTTTTTCAGAAAATAGGTTTCAGCTTTCTTTTCTGTAAACCATAATCAACCAAATTAAATGAAGCAAGTGCTTTAAATGCATTCCAATGGGTAATGAATCTAAATATGGATTTAAAGATTTATTTATTTAATGAGCTACAGAAGCCAGAAAAAGGGATGGTACCCAGGCTGCAATCTAGAAGCTGGAAACTACTTCAGTCCAACAGAGACGCCTACTGACATCTCTATGGTAACGCAGCTCCACTGAAGTGATGCACTATGGTCTTATACATATATCGTTGGTCAGGGATCATTTTTACACAAACATACTAAAGGATGTTTGAAGTGATTCTAATTTAAGTTGGCTAAATTTGTATTTTTGCTCTCCCTCGCTGAGAGAGGCTGCCAACCATATACATCTGTTTTTTTTTCTCACTTTAGCTTCAGCTCCCCTTTCAGAGGAATACTGCACATCTAATTATGGGGACCACAATCAGTTGAGTGTCGTGATTCTTGCTCTGAAAAACATTAGTTTCATTTATTCGTCGTGTGCACGGACTATTAAAAGGGTCCTGAGATGTATAAGAAGAGCCTTCATCTAAATGATTAGTATTGATTTTCTGCAGGAGACCGGTTCGTTTGGTGCTGGACTCTAAGTGAGCTGAAGTACTCATCTGTCCTATTGATCATAGAGTCCCAACATTCTGACTGTAAACCATTGGTTTTGCCTTCTCATCAACTGCCCCCACTAAGCTTTTAAGCAATCTGAATGAACGCATCAGTTTTCAGATACGCTTGGAAAGAAAAAAATCAAATGGAGCTCTGCCCTCTCTTGATGTGTCACATCCTGCCATGTTGCTAGGCTTAAAGGGGGAATTGGAATGCAAAATGAGTTGAAGTAAAAGCATGACTGGTGTGAAAAAAAAAAAGTACTAATCTGATTTGAAATCGCAAATCCTGCTGCCTGGATGGATCCAGCTTTGTAGCTGTTGCTGAAATTGATCTTAAAATGATGCTTGTTTAGGTTATTTTATCTTCCTAACAAGGCCAGTTGGTATCCCTGTCAAAGATTAGAAAGCCCAAAGCAAGATCTTTTATGTTCTGCAATATTCAGGGTGATGTGCATTGTTAGTTTTCCACCTACACTCATTTTTGCATGGTGATGATATTTCATCTAACCAGAGAACCTTCCATTTTTGCTGTGTCCCTTACATGGCTTGAGCGATAAATACTATTTCTACGGCTGGACCATAAATAGTTCAGACTCTCAGCTTGGCAGTAGATCTCTGCAGTGTCATTAACAATCAGCCTCTAATTTTCAGTGGATTGCATGTTTTGGCAGGCTTACAGTTGGGTTATACTTTTGCTATTACTCAGGTGATGATTTAAAAATTTCTCCATGACATGTTCAAAACTTGATTTTTTTCTTTAATATTAGTTAACTATATTTTTTAGTTCTTTAAAAGTTTCCTGATACATCTGCTCTCTTCCATTGTCTTCATTACCGTTTTTCTATTACTACTCTGAACCTTCTAAAGCCTTCAAAGGTATTCTTTGGTTATACTAGGAATATATGTCACACAGATTCACACAGACTCTTTAGTAATCAGTGGATTCAAAAAGCTATTAACTGTGCAGAATCTAACAGGGATCAGATTCAGGGGGCATAATTATAAATTAATACCCCACTTCTCTTGTTATTTATCATCTATTGGGAAAAAAATAAAAAAAATCAGCCATAATTTTCCTTACATTTCACCGTTATACACTTTAGGCCTGATCTCCAAATAATAGGTGATTAAATTTATGTGCAATAAGTTGGTCTGTTGCATGTGATCTAAAGGTTGGTCAACTAATTGTAAATCCAAACCAATTTGGTTCCACCTGTTAAAATAAGCAGACTGCGTTTGAGAGTGGCCGTAAAAGAAGGATGAGGTTCTAAGCCATGAAGAGGGGGATAAAAATTTATGCGAAATATTGATATATTGGTAGTACACTTCACATAAGTCCTCTCAAAGTCCTTTAAACAACATTTAAAAACAAACATGCTTCATGAGTTATGCTTTATAAACATGCCACATTATCTAATTTCATGTTTTCTGTTTAGCTTTTTTTTTTCTGCAACCAGGTACATTGGGCCAACCTGCGTAGACATTTTTTATTCATTATTATTTTTCTAGTATTGTTGTTACCTCTCTCAATCGTCAGGCTTTGAACCCAATTCCTTCTTTGAGGCAACGACTACGGATATTTTTGTGCGTAAATTTGCACCTGATTTCCAGTAGTACTAAAAGAACACTGCAAGAACAGATGTTGAGTTTTCAGATTTGAAATATTGTTTTGCACATGGAAAATGTTTACATTTGCATATCCTTCACACATCAATTTGCACGATTTGGCCAATAAAATATGATCTGCATATGGATGAAGGCAAGCATGCAAAAAAAAATAGTTTGCAAATGCTGCGAGCTAAATTGGAAATGCAAATCGCTTTGCAGCTTCTTTAAAGATCTGATCTGTGCGTACAAACATGTTTGCATCTATTTTAAGACAAGCAAACCTTCTGACGATCAATCCCTTAACACTTGGTCTGCTTCACAACATTCATTATGGGCTAGTCATTATAATTCGGTAACATTTAAAAAAAACTCTGAACTATCTCTTTTAATTCTAATTGAAAAGTTATAAACATTTATATGAAAATAAGGTTAGTATTTTTTTTGTTGTTTCAAGAAACAAAAACAAAAAATGACAGAATGTGTTTATTTGCGATTTTTAATACTTTTTCTTTAATGATTACACAGATCCTTGAGTCGAGTAACAGAAAGCAGAAGATCCAACTCCAACAATCTTGACAATGTTCAAAAACAGGTAAAGAGATTTTTGTCCAGAAAACCTTTAATCGTTAATAGAATTAGTAGTATGACATATTTTCTTTTTTATAAATATTCAGATATATACAGATACAGCAGAAACGGTACATTCTTTTTTTTTTTCATCTTCAAATTGCTTCACGGTTTTTTTTGTACAAGCCAAAATATCTGCCATTTTTATTCATATTCATGCAAAATATAGTTTCTCAGATTAATGAAAAAATAAAAAGAATTCGCTGAACTTTTTCATCTTGCTTTGATGTGCACTCTCAGCTTATATAAGCACCATAATTAGCATCTGAAATTTAGCAAATTAAAACGAGGTGCACTTTGTGCCAGACACAATAGAAGCAGGTTAAAGCAAAATTAAGGCCATTCCAACTTTTGCAAAGAAGTTTAACAAATCAATAATAATAGTAATTTATTAATTCACATCAGTTCAGGTTTCACTGTATTTTTTCCTTTTCCCTCTGGGTATCAGATTTTACAATACATACATTAAAATACAAGTGAAAAATCCAACCAAAAAAAATTCAACTTCAAAATCGATAAGCTTTGAAATATCAACCATGCTTCGTTAAAATCCAGCTTAGAAATCAAAGTTTGATAAACGTATCCTTCATTATCAACTTATCTTTCTTTTTCTCTTTTAATATGATGCAATATAATCCTAATATTTTTACATGATACCTTTTGCAGCTCCACCAAATACAATGGAATCAATGACTAATATAATAAAATGAGGCTCCTTATGATGCAGCTATGATACACAGAGGACTCATGCCAGAGGAAAGGCTCATGAATCATGTAAAGTGGTTGAAAAATTCATGATATGCTTGTAGGTCCATTTTTTATTTTTTAGACTTATTTTTTCCCCTTGTATTTTGGTTGCATATTCAACCCTGATATGGCACAAGAAGATACATGTAGGAAAAGGGATGTCGGCTTATGAAAAGAAGTGCTTGGAGTGAGACCGCTTATGGCACACAGAGAAAATAGTTCCTTAAGAAAAGGAGAAAAGGTTTCAGTTTTATTTTGAAAGGCAACGACATCAGCAGTTTTTTTGGCACCTAAAACACAATGTTAAGTTCTATTACATTATGCTGTAATCTATCAAAATTTTATTTAAATCTAATTGGCATTTTGAATAAAAAAAAAATATATAAATTTATATATTTTCCCATTATGTGTCTTACAGAAAAACAAAATAAGCAACAAAAAACAAAAACAAAAAACAAAACAAAAGATCTAGGCTCATGTTGTTCAAGTAAGCCTAACAATAAAATATTTTTTATTCACTTAATATGCAATTGTTTCTCTAAACAAATAATTAGCTGTAAATGCTTGGCTTGCACTTCATATGTCTTGAGCATGGTGTTTTTTGGATTTCATGCTCTGCTATTTCATGCAAACATGCCAACTGCAATGTCAAATACACCTTTGATGGAAACAAATTTTGAGTGCTTTATTTTAATGCTACATACTTTTCTAGGCGTAAAGTAAAAAAAAAAAAAGATTATTTGAGTTTGCAGAAAGTAATCAATATGAAGTCGTTTTTGGGATAATTGGATGGACAGCGTCTCACTAAAGGCTACATCAATTGAAGTAGCTACCAACAAATACATTTGTACTTCAGCTTTTATTAACATTCTGGGCTTTGTTAAAACCTCCAGTTAACATGAAACTGATAAACTAAAGTTAAAATAATTACTTTGGTAAAAGTGGACCACAGCAGGCACTGGCACTGCTCACATTTTCACACCAACATCAAACACATTATAGAGAGGGGAAATCACCACCGTCTACTTCTACTTTAAGTGTCTTTTGCTTCTCCTCAAAAATAAAAGCCTAATGAGGTGGGGGATTGACTGTTGGAATAAAGTGGCAGTGTCTTAGTAAAAAGTCAAAAGTAAAAGATTTGGATTTAGTTATTGATAAAACAATCATCTAATGTCATAAGCTGCTGATATTGACTAAAGCTGCTGAGCTTTCTTCAGCTGTAGAATGGCTCATTTACCATTAAAGGAAAAACACACTGACGCCATATGTTGCCTCTTGTTTGCATACCAGCAGTTGTCCTGAAGGTCAAAATACATTAACCCACTTTTGGACTCTTGTTATGGATTTGCCTCAGACCAGAAGGTGGCAGTGACATACCACCATTATCTGTGCATGTATGTGTTTTATGTGTAGATGTATTCTATACATAAAATATCTTTATTAGGACATTGCCACCATCTGGTGGTAGGGGGTTTTAGCCAATAGTATGTAATTTAGGGAACTTGCATACTAAATCTAATAAGCTGCATACAGCTTAAATAAAACCAACCCAAAAACACAAATAATTCAGTCAATAATGGGTTAAAACTTATTATTTTGGTTACAAAAACTGAATTTAAGTTTAAACACTAAAATAGAGATTTATCTGTATTTATCTACACTGCAAAAACGATCTAGAAATAAGTAAAATTTTCTTATATTAATTGTATTCACTCTGAATTTGAGTAGGTAAATGAGACAGTTTGCCAATGGAATGAGTAATTTTACTCTTAAAATAAGATTATTAGATAATATGCACTTGAAATAAGACAATGCAATTGTGTTTTCTTATTTTAAGTGTAAATTGCCTTGTTCCATTGGCAAAATGTCTCTTTTACCTCCTCAATTCAAGAACAAATGCACTTATTTTTAGAAAAAAATGACTTATCTAGATTTAGATTTTTTGCAGTGTAGAGATGATTAAAGGCGGCCAATGATCCCTAAAAAAACACAGTTAGACGATAACGACTTAAATAGGTTGTTAATTGTGAACATCAGCTCAGATACTATTTTAAGTGTCTCAGACAGCAACATTGTTATCCCATGTTTTCTAATTCTCCTCCAGCCGTCAATCACAATAGGCAGCAGAAACCCATTTCCAGCCAACTCCACAGATAACCGTTTGCCTCTGTGCCTTTGTCACCCACAGATGGACTGGTGCCCTGGGCGCTGGGTCATATCAATGCCTGTCACAGCAGGATCTTAAGTATTTTGGGCCTGTATTGATAATGTGAGATGTTTGTTCTACTGTTGGGAGCCAAGATTAAAATCATTACTTCTACAGATTAAAATCATCCAACTAAACTGGTTTTGGCATCTGGTGGGATAATTGCTTGGGGGAGACCCATAACTCACCGGTAAGATTAACTTTCTTGACTCTGGGCATCCCCAGATAAGCTGGGGAAAGTAGCTGGGAAGAAAAAGGGTCTTGGGATTTCTGCTTAATGCATTGCTCCTGCAACTTGGCCTAGAGTGAGTGTTAGAAGATAGATGGACCAAACTGACTTTTGATCTGTAAAACTTCTCAGTTGAAAAAGTTGCTGTTGGATGATAAAGAGTAGAAACAGCTTCACCAACATGTGTTTGGAAAGAAAGGCATATCTTTTGGGGTGATATGCATTTATGTGGATCTTTTTACTATAAAGTCTAGAATCAGAATGAAATAATAAATAGGTGGCTTAGCCCTTCAGATCAGCCTGACATATCTTCAGTAACAAAGCCTTGGACATATTCATGATGGAATAAAACAGATTTCTGATTTGAAAGATAAACTGTTCCACTAGACATATTCAAGGATATCAAAAAATGTGACTCTAAGAGGTAAAAAGCTGTTTAGGCAATTATTAGACTGAAGTTTGCAAAGGAATGAAACATATATTCTGCAGATTTATTTTTGTGCATAACAGGAGCATTATAATAGACTATAATATATATGATTTTTTTTTTCAGTTCTATACTCCAAAAATAAGTGCCTGAAACTAGTTCCTCCAATGTATTGTATTTGTTCTTCCTGTTATGAAAATCCTAATGAATAATGAGTGAACTAGATTTCACAGGAAAGACTGCTCTTAGCTACTGATGTTAAGCCAGGAATTTTCAACCTCAATTTATACATTTTTGAGCAATTTAGTGTTTTTTGTTAGGTGCTAAAAGACATTTTATGTCATTAGTATAAATAAATCTCTTTTCTAAATCGTATCACAACAATAACATCTATTATATTAATTCTATATTTTCATCTTTGCTTAAAAAACTGGTAATTTTCCAGGATTTTCATTGTTCAAAACATTTTCAAAACAAATAAGCACTTAGGGATATTCTGCATTTACTATGCAGAAGAATTAACAAATATGATATTCTTGTGTGCATTAAACAGGGGAAAAAAATGATATCAAGCAAGATTTGGCTCCATTTCCTTTTAAAGACTAGTTTTTCATGCAGTCATCTGCATGCTTTTTGGCCAAAAGTGCCTTAAAGAGGCCACTACCTCAACATTCTCACTATCAATAAAGTGTAGCCACTTGAGATGGAAGAGCAATGAAGTTAAAATTAAAATTGCATATACTGATCATTGCATAGAAAAGCCTGGTGCAAAGCAAAATTATCAATCAATCACATAAACCAGCCTGACCGATTAAACCCATTGCAGTGAAACAAATCAAGTTAATGCATTCTGCATTTGTGACCATGTAGTTCCATTAAGTGTCGAGCTACAGCTGGGTCATGTGGATGAGATGGAGGTAAAGTTCTGTGTTATAATCTGGATGATTTAAGACATGTTGTCCTCTTGCTTGGGATTAAGAAAGGCGGGGGGATGTTGGTGTCACCTTGAGGCAGGGTTGAAGCAAGGAAGCCCTGTGATATCAACACAAGGATGTTTTAGTCTCACCAATACAGCGAAGGAAAATGAATCAGACTCTGCATTTTTTTTTTACTCCGGTCAAGGATCGATCTGGTCTTTCTTCCGCTGATGGCATTGAACTCAAATCTTAGTGATCAAAACAAAATCCTAAAAAGACATCAAACTGCTCACCCTCCCTCCAGAGGAAAAGGTCAGAAATGACGAGATATGCACAGCAACAAGGGACAAGTTTAGTTGGCACGTATATCAATAATATCGATAATAATTAATAAATAAAAAACAACAACAAACAAATAACACAAATATGCAGACTGAAAGTAATTAGGAAATGATAGATGTTGATCACAAGTATTAATCAGCTCTGGGTGTCCATTATGTTTTTAGTGTCTTCATTTTTTTTTTTCTTTATAGTCCAGCAGCGACAAACTTCAAGTTTCTCTGTAGCTTTTGTGGCATTGGCAGCAGGAGGGAGGGAAAGCTTTGACAAGTGCTTGCAATACATATTTGAAGCAAATCTATATATATATAGAATGCATGATCCTTGCATCAATTAATTTAGTGGAAGCACTGAACCGCCATCTTTCTTTTATTTTTTGGGGGATGAAACATCCTTTGTTCCAGCTGTCCACCCTTAGAGGCATGGTCCATAAATTTTCCGATTCCGGTAAATAATTATATTACACTGCTGTATGCCACTTTCACCTTTGCTACCCCATCTACATCATATTTCCACAAAGAGTTATATATTTGTCTTCACAAAAAAAGCTAAAATTAAATACAAGGTCTTTTGTCTCCTTTTGTTCCAGTCGTTTCACTCCCAAATCATTTCCTCTGTGTTCCTTGAAAAGTTTGTTTAGATTTTAACGTTTCTTCTTCGACATATTGCCACATTCATATATCATGCATTTTACTGCATTGCTATTGCACTGGTCCGGACTGTTAAGGGACATTGAAGATAAAGGAAAAGGGTCTAGGATTCAGGAGCAGGGATAAAGAGGAAAAAGCATCTTTAAATGATTTGGTCAGGTTGGATTTTGAGGGGGCTGCAAAAAGCAGCAAACCCTCGACCAAAGTGAAGGAGAGTAAAGGAGAGGACAAGAGATACGGATGGAAAAGGAGGGCAATATAATCTGCCTTGAAGTCACTTTTGTCTCATATTTTTAACTTGCTTTGCTGCTTCCTTTGCTTCATGTCACTGTCGCCCTTTTCCTCTATTGAACTACTGCTTATGGATGTCCTCACTGCGGATGATCTTGTAAATGATCCAGTAGAAAATGTTAAAAATGAGGAAGACGAGCGGGAAGGCCACGCGGGACACCGTGTCAATGCGCTTGGCCCGGCTGATGAACAGCTTCTTCATCTCCTCGATGCTTTTCTCGGGCGCTGCCGAGGTCGGGGCGTTGTTGTTGTTGCCCTTGATGGCCATGCCATCCTTGGCCTGTAGGCAGGCAGGACCCATGCCATACCCGGGGAAGCTGAAACGCCCATCGCCCGGGTCCTCCTCCTGCAACACATGCCAAGACTCAGGCTGTTAGGAATCAGAAAAACAAAAAACATTACAGTTGAGAGCTTTGTATGAGTTTAGGGAAACTGCAGAGACATTTTAAACAAATACTAAATTTGAAAAGAAAAATTAAACATTTGCTTTAGAATATGAAAGGCAATATAACCGTTAATTTTTCAATATCTCTGCTCGAGCATTCAACACCAGCAAATGTCCAAGATATGTTCAGGGCTTTTGATGAATATAGGATCCTTTATATTTGAATTTAAAGTTCAAGGTTATGGTTGTGATTTCACATTTGTATTAGTTAAATGCTAAAATCTCACCAATGCTCACTTTAGTTGGTTCCTGTTGCTAAGTTATACCTGCCATACTTACTTTGATTCTCCCATTGTTTTAAAATCCGTTCCTCTTTAATTAGAATTTTGTTTGACATTAAATGTTTATGGAGTTGTCTGCTTACATTTATCTCATCAGTCAAATTGTTTAACAGGATTGAAAAAACTAAAAATCTTACTGTTCCCTGACAGTAGAATAAAAAGTTAGTTTATCATTATTTTGCCTAGCTAGCCCAATAAAATGCTTTATGACAGGGATATTTTTTGCCCTTCATGTTTCAGATCACCAGACAAAGTTGAATAACAAAGAAAAATACAATAAAAACATAATCCAGTTTTAAATAAACATAAATCTTAATTCATTAAGAAGTGAAAATGTACCCAAAACACCCTGGAACCTATGTATAGATTAATTTGACCTCTAAGTTAACTCTGATCAACCAAATTTATTGAAAAACTGAATTTATTTCACTAACCACACCGAGTCTTGATTCTAGCCTCACATATAGAATGTATTTTGACAACATGAAGAAGGCTAGAAGATGTTAAAATGAATACATAACAGCTCAAGACAAATCTAGTAATAGATAACAAACCTTGACGTATCTCAGTCTGGAAGGGATAACAAAACCATGACTAAGGATATGACACTGCTGCTAACCACACTGAAGCTGTGTTTCTATCCAAATGTGATGCAAATAATGAGCGAACTTATAACTTAGATGTTTTTCCATCCACTGGAGTGATTTACAGAGATGGTGTTATCATATGGTGATGTTACGCTTGGCTGAAGTTAACAGGAAGTAAGCAGGCACTGACCATAGATCAGTGATGGACCAAGGTTTAAATGAATGTGTTGCAATCGGGCAAGTTGTACTTAAAATGATGTCAGCTAGTATTACTAATAGAACACAGCATCCTGAAACACTGAGAGAGAAGTGGGATTCTAATGCTAGAGTCAAGATGCCAGCGGTGGCCAAAAGACCTAATCATTCATGAGAGGTAATTGTTCAGAGATTATTAACACATATAAACATATTGCCATCTCCTTCTCTTTTAGAGGTATTCATGGTTTTTGTTTTGGATAATTCGGTTTTCAGGACAGAACCTCGACAACTACTTTGACTACTTTAATAACATAATATTAATATGATAAATGGATATAACAGGAAAAAAATTGGTGTTTTTCTTGAATAAAAAAAAATGGAAAACAAACCTTCTACTGTGTAGAGAGTTAGTAAAATACAAAGCAGGAATATAACAAATATTACCATTAGCAGAGTTAGTTTCTGTAGTTTTCTAAAAATAAAGTGTATAAAATGATCAAACTACAGTCAGTAAATGCAGTGGAAAATATGCTCCACTTATGGAGGCTGCAATCTAGTTCATATTTAGACGAAACAACAGCATTTCATACAATAGTGAATATGAAATTTAAGTATCAATCTCACCATTATACAGCCTGGTATTTATAGACATTTTTTAAATTTTGGATGGATCTGTGACAAAGAAAGAAGGGCTATCCATGTCCTTTCCTCTCTTCCATAGTTAGACAGATAAATAGGCTAAAGGTTTAGTTTTAAAGCCTCATCTTACAATGTAATATAGTTACAAGATATGATTTATAATGATATTAAAACGTAATTGAACTATAGTTTGAGGATAATAATAAAAAATGATTTAATTCTTATAGTTCCTCCAGTTTCATTGGGCCATCCAAACGCGACCCTACCCTATAGTTTTTTAGGCCAATATTAAATCTCTGCACGGTCTTCCAAAAATGGAATCCTGTTATTTTCCCTTTTTTTCCTTCTGTATTGTTTTTCTCTGCACAAGTGGCAGACAGCTTTGCAAAGGTTGAGCTGTGGAGTGGATTAATAAATAAGCAACTCACCACATATCAGACTATACACAGCACTGATGTCAGACTGGTATGCCTTCCTACCAGAAGTCACAATATGTTCAACTCACGAGACAAGGGTAGCGGGGATGTGAGTTGAGGTGTTTGAATTGATTCCATTGATTGACATGAGCTGTACTGAAGGTGACGCCATGCACGGGACATTTTCACCCAAGGGCAGTGAGATACCGATAAAGTTATCTGCATTGTCACCCTGCCTTTTCATTATAGAAGGTACATCGACTTCCTTATCCATTTCAGAGAGTTTGGCATAAACACTGGGGGTTTTGAGGGAAGATTTATCACTTGAATAAACAGCAGAAATAGCTTCTAAACAACAAGCTTAAAAGTAATGTAAAATAAAACAGAATATCAGGTGACTAAACGTCATATTTGTCTCGAGTCTGAATATTTGCAGCACTATATTATTTCCCTTTGTGTCAGTTTGGGGAGAGCTTGCAGCAGCTGATCAGAATTTAATCAAACCTTTTCCTTTTGGACTGGAAAAATGAGAAAGCATTTTATGATCAGAAAGCTAGCAGGACCAATGCCTAAATCAGCAGCAACTGCTGGCAGCAAGGGAGCTTAAGTGACGCAAAACCTCTGCAGCAACAACAAATCAAGCCAGCAATAAAAGACGACAGCTGAACACCCCTGTGCTAGACTTCTGGATCTACCATTCCGAAGAAAAGAGGCTAAATATCCAATAAATTGCCAAAGAAAAAGATGAAAATGATCACGAAAACTTAATCAGAAATGAATGTCTTGTCCATGTATGTTATTCTTTAATGAGTAGCGTTCATTTGGTTGTGTGTATCTGTTGATGTGAGCATATACACTTATGCATTTTGCACCACTAGGTAGTGATCCATTTTTAGCAACCGATGTCCCTGTTCTGTCCTTGCATCCACACCAAGTCATCTATTACTGTTAATACAAACACACACACAAGGAGTCCATGCATTAGCCACAATGCTAGCCGACCTCTGCCCGTCCTTCAGTGACGCTGTGAAACTATTACAGATGCTCCGCTTTATTCTCCCTGCCATGTGATTAATGTGGAGGGTGGAGGGACGTGAGGAGGAGGCGCAATGAGAAGAATTGTCGAGAGAGAAGGAGGAGGTGGAGGAGAAGAAAAAAATGAAAAGGAGGCAATAAAGAACAATAAGAGGGGAAGAAGGAAGCTCTGCACTCATATGCTTCTTTAAAAACAGAAAAAAACAAAGGGTGGATCACGTGAGCCATTGTAAATATCTCCATTAGTACAGCAAGGACAATAAACAGTTTATAAAAGGATGGATAGAGCAAATTGCTATGGAGATAAATGCTTTGAAAAAAAAAAACGTTTCTTCAGTCGTGAAGAAAAAACTTGTTCCTTTATAAGAGCAATGTTTCAGTTTTAAATGAAGCTTTTTTAACATATTTGTTAGCGTAAACTTTTCTAACTATCCTTTGATCATCTGTTAAACCTACCCTGTAAATTTCGTAAAATTATTGATAAAATATGCTTTGTCAACTTTGATATCAATGCGCCTGATTTGATGAGTATTTTGCTCATTACCAAAAGCTGTTTATTCCGCTTTTGGACGTGATCTCCCCTCCAGTCTGAAGCAGCAGGACACTGCATGTCAGCCTCTATGAGAAATTCCTGTTGAGATTTGAGCCTTGGTCAAACTAGAAACTAGAACCCTAACGTCCGGCGAGGCTTAACCTCTTAGAGGCCCGATTCCAAACCGGCCCCTAAGCACTAACCCTGAGCACTAATCCTTCGTTTGCACATTCCTTTGGAGGGTCCGCCACATTAAGTGCCATCCCAAACCCCATAGTGGGTAGGGCAAGTGGTCCGTTCAGCCCTAAATAACGAGTCTATGTTAAGTACAGGCTCGCTGGAAATTGGCAGCATGTTTAACAGTGGCTTGATGGCGAACAAAACCATGCATTTAAATATAAGTTCAACGGGTTTGCTTCATCTTTATCACACTTCAACAATCAGCAATTGTTTCCTTTGTCTTTTGGCAAAAAAATCCAGGTCTGATACCCCACTGAAAAGCTGTGTGTCCTCTGTCCCCCACCAGTGTATGTCTGCTGATGCTATCATGCTTAGTCAGCGTTGATGATGTCATCGGTGCGACAGAAATCAGGAAAGTAATCAATGGAGAGCAACATGGAAGGCAGCCAGGGCGTATTTAATGTGCTGTACTGTTTCACTCTTCGCCATGTTTATTAAATGCAAGCAGAGTTGTTTTTGCTTGTTATATCAGATGGTGCAATGCCAAGATGTACATATGTTGTGCTAAAAGGCACTGTAGGCAGACTGTAGGTTTTAGCCCTAAGCCCTCCTTCTCAATTTAAAGTTGTTTAAACATCAATTATCAGTATTAAGAGTGTCTCATTTTCTTAAAATTTTCATTTTTGTGTCCAGCTTTCCACAGCCATAACATTGGCTTGTTAGTCAGTCATTACCCAATAATTATTTTAACATAAAAATCATTTTAAGATGATTTTAAGACAAAAAAGTACACCTTAAAATTTGGTAAACTTTTCTGATGTAGTTCTGTGCTTTTCTTTTCAATGCTGTCTTAACGACCAGGCGTCCATTTTATTATGCAGATTTCTAAACGTGAAATGTGGGAAACTCTGACTTTTCCATTTCACAGTTTCCTCGTCCTCTGTTTCTGTTGCCGTAGTAACATTCTCCCCACATCTAACCTGGTCAGGATCAGGTTTTGTTCAGTAAACGCAGAGTGACCTCTGTCTCTCAA